AAATGCAGGACCGAGATCCCGGGCTACACACTGGAAACAAACAGTCATGTACCTAGAAGATGTGTTAACCATATGTGAGGGTGAGACAATCACTGGAAGCATGTCCGTTTCGTATAACAAGAAGAATCCTCGTGACGTTGACATAAAACTAAGCTATTCTTTAGATGGCCAACATTCCAAGATCTCAAAAACTCAACACTACAAAATGCGCTGAGCTTCTCTCAAAAGAAGCAGAACTTCAAGTCTACAGCTGAAACTGAGACGCATTTCTCAAATTTGTGATTTTAATTTTTGTATTTTTTTTCCAGTTTTGCAACATTCCCTTTGCTTCACTACGCAACATTTGTTTTTTTCTGAGTTAAATTTATGATTTTTCACTAAACCATCACATTGTATGTTATTTCTTCTGTTACAAGAACTGATGTCTCAACACATTCTCTTAAAAAGATCATAGACACTAAAAGAAATCTACAAAAAGCACTGTGAAGAAGAAGAGTACATTAAAAACTAAAAACAGAACTGGTCCAAACTGTTTTCTATAGCTCAGATTTTCCGGATTTAGGTTTCTTTGAAGAAGACGATTTAAGTCCTTTCCACCATCTCCGAACCCGGTTCGACACTTTCTGCGCATGTCTCTTCAGAACCTCACCTTTCTTCTTGATTTCCTTAGTAATTGTCTTCTTCCATTCGTCCTTTTTATCCTCTTTCTCTGTCAAAACTTTTCCCTGAAACCAACAATACCATAACAAGTGTATTAGACAAAAGAGTGAAAGATCTTGGTTTCTACTTCTTATTCTTTATCAAAGTTTAAGCCAAAGATCTGAAAACAGAAACTTCTTATGTACCAAGTTCTTGGGAAACTTTTCATCGTCTTCCTCATCTTCATCATCGTCGCCATCTTCATCTTCAGTACCGAATTTCCCCAAGTTATCTTTATACTTCTCTATATCGTCTCTAGAGTATACCTTCATGCCAGGTGCTCCTGGCATACCCTGAAGGAACAAAATAACAGTCAATCAGAGTTAGACTAAGATCATTCCGTTGATATGTTTAGCTTCATAATATGGGGACAACAATTGATCGAAGTCATCAAAGATCACCTGCATAGATCTCAATATCTTGTCCATTTCAGCATCCTTCGATGGTTTTGCAACAAATGGTTCTCCAGGAACCCGATCCTGGACCAAAGATAAAGGGACACTTATCACAAAAAGTTTCTGTCTTTTCGTCCAATTGTCAACTACACAGTAACTAAGACTCACGGACTCAAATCACCGAGGATCCACATTTCAATTTCAAAAAACGGATGGTCTTTGGATAGATTATATGGTTTCCAAGAAAGTGCCATAGGAAGTTACCTTGGGAACAGGAGGCGGGTTCTTGCTACAAGCATCGGTCAGGTCTTTGCATAGATGATTTACCAGTGAAACAAGATCAGGCTTTGACTTGTATATAAACTCTGCAACATCGGTGTCTGAGTAACCAATGACCTGAAAACACACAAAGAGATAAAAACCACTTACCCTCTTAATGCTACAAAAAAATGCAAATCAAATTGTACTAATAGCTGAAAGATCACAAAAGTGCTCACCTTTTGACAAGCAGCCTCTATCGTCTTGCACTCAGAATTGCACATCCCTTCTTCTTGTTGTTCAACCAGCTACGAAACCAATTCAAAAGAATCAAACTTTTGAGAGAGTCAAGAGATACCCACCATTGCGATATTACAACAAATGTACAAGTTTCCACTTAATTCAACCCCTAAATTACCAAAATATTTCTTCCTAAGCTACAAGAGAATAATCTTGGATCAAACAAGTAGGAGAGAGACAGAGAAATATCTATTACCTGAAGCTTATCGCCTTTCTCCACAATGTCAATCTTGAGTATCCAATCAGCTTCCTCTTTCTTCAAGTTGCAGACATTTTCAGCTATCTCAATGATCTCATACTCCGAGATCTAGCATTTGTTTTCCACCCAAAAATCTCAGTGATCAGTAACACACCAAACAGAAAACAAAATAGAAAGATCACTGATTTCATAGCAAAATTCTACCTTCTTGGGCGAGATCTGCTCTTGCTTCTCCTTCACTAGCTGGTGTAGCCGCGAGGCTAGTTTCTCGCAAACCTGACACTTTATGTACGGAACATCCTCCTTTCTCGGCGTCGACGACGGTTTCTTCGCGCCATCGGAGACAGGTAATAACGCCGACGAAGCTAGAAGAGCTAATGTTACAGCTATCAGAACTCGATTCATCTCCACCGTTGAATGAAACAGACAGAAACTCTCTCGCTCTTAAAATCAGTGAAAGTTTGAGACTTTAATCAAACTTATTAATATATAAGAGATCGATCATATGGGTTTTACGATTTCTTTGCCGAGAAATGTGGGTTTTTGATTTCCTTTGCCGTGTTGTTGAAGTGGAATCGATGTTACGCCTGTTAACGTGTTTCGTGCAATCTTATTGGCTATTCGATTGCTGACACGAAATGGAGCCCACTAAATGGGCCTGAGGAAAGACATTAGGCCCATCATTTAATCTGATTCGATGGCTCAAATGTAATTTGAAGGGATGAATAAGATCCATTCTGTCTTTTACGACAGGAACATAATTCAAGTGACGGATCGGCCAATTAGGAAAGACGACCAGAGAAGAGGAGAAGTGATTGCAGTGATCGTGATTATATTCGTGATTATATTCGATTTTGACCTTCAACATTGACGGCAAGAAGCAAGCTCCGGCGTTGCGTTTAACTAGAGAAATGGCCGGGATCGTGATTATATTCGATTTTGATCGGACTTTGATCGACGGAGATAGTGACAATTGGGTTGTAACACAAATGGGACTCTCAGAGATCTTCCATCAGCTCCGCTTCACTTTACCATGGAATCGCCTTATGGTATTTCATATATCAACGATAAACTCGATATAACTTGAAAGCCATTTCTATGATTTAGTGTCTTCGTTTCTTGAATTTTTGTTTTTGTTTTTTTTTTGTTTTTTGGGACTTGATTGTGGAAAGGACAGGATGATGACGGAGCTGCATTCACAAGGGAGATCGATTGAGGACATCGAAGCTTGCTTGAGAAAAATGCCAATTGATTCTCAGATTATTGAAGCTATAAAATCAGCCAAGTCTTTAGGGTATGAACTATGGCGTTTTATATTTTAGTGTCTGCACACTTATTAGCTCACTTAGATAGATATGGTGAGCTTCGTCTTCTAGTTTGGCTGAGTGTTAATTTTGCAAATGCAGATGTGATCTGAAGATTGTGAGTGATGCAAACCAGTTTTTCATTGAGAAGATACTAGAGCAGCATAAGTTGTTGGACTGCTTCTCAGAAATTTACACAAATCCAATCTCTGTTGATGAAAATGGAAAGTTGCAGATTTTACCGTACCATGGTGCTGCATCGCCTCCACATAACTGCAATCTCTGCCCTTCAAATCTATGCAAGGTACTACTATATATTTTTTGTAATCTATATAGCCTGCCTCCATGTCTGTCTACCTAGTTAGACTTGCAATTTTATTGTTCTCAAACTTGGATGTTTATTAGAATTTGGAATTAGTCTTGAGTCCTTGAGCTGAAAAATCTTGGCTTCTAAAGCGAGTTGCATTTGGTGGAACTGGATTCAATTTTGACTTGTGAATGTTGATTTTGTTCCTCAGGGTCTGGTAATGGACCATATACGTGCTTCTTCTCCCAACGATCAAATCACAAGAAGGTTTATCTACCTTGGAGATGGAGGAGGTGACTTCTGCCCGACTTTGAAGCTGAGAGAGTGTGATTGTGTGATGCCGAGAACGAATTATCCGCTTTGGAAGCGGATTTCAGATAATTCGTCACTGATCAAAGCAGAAGTCATGGAATGGAGCAATGCTGAGGAACTACAGAGAATCCTTATGCAACTTGTCAGCACAACAACAAAGGAAGATTCATAAACAGTACCTCTTTTGAAACAGCGCCATATTGGATTGTTTGTTATAGTCAAAAGTGTTTCGAATTGTTCTTCTCCACTTGACTGATTTGGGCATTGTTTTCTGTCATGGTGATGGAAATTAATTGCTACCATCGTTTAAATCAAAGCTACTATACCAATAAAATCTTATGAAAATGAAGGATTTTGTTTTTCAATTTATATTTGGTGCCAAAAAGATGAAAGTTGTTGTTTTGAAAAATTTCATAAAATTTAGAACAACGTCAAAATAGTACTTTGAAAGAAAATCTTAAATTGTTAGCACACTTCAAAATAAACTATGAAATTTATACAAATGAATAAATGCTAAAGAGCGAATATATTATATAATTGATTCTATCAAATTCTTCATAAATAGCTTTACCAAATGAATATAAAACCCAGGCGCGTTGATATAACGTGCTCAATCCTTGGGCGCGTGTGAAAATGTTTTTTTTTTTTTTTCTCGTTTAACTTTCTTTGAGGCATTTCGTCGAACACAGCATGTATGAAATCGAAGTTGTTTGTGTTTGCTCTACTTAGCCCGCCATGAATTCTCTCCTTAAAGCACGCGAGAGGGTCTTCTCTCCTCTCATCAGTTCCTCTATCCGTAGTCTATCCTCTAGTCTCTCCTGTAAATCTTCATATCTCTCTCTTTCCGCTTCTGCTCATGTGAGCATATGATTAGCAGAGTTTATTATATCTCTATTCTATTTGTGTGGCTTGGAGCAGATTCTCATGAAGTTGCGAGAGATTCTCAAGTCTTTATACACCCGAGTGCTGTCGTCCACCCAAGTGCTGTGATTGGGAAGGTTTGGTTTGTTTTGTGACATTTCTTGTTCTTGCCATCAAACTACTATAACAAAACCTTCAAAATTGGGTGAATTTTGATCTTGTTGCAAAATTAGATTGGGTGTAAACTCCTTCTCTGATCATCTTTAAGAGTAGAATAACTAAACACTCACAAAGTAATGTTTTTTAGCTTTACGTAACTGGATGTTATAATTAGTAGAACAGGATGAATTTGATGGATCCTGGCCAAAGTGTGATGCTTTGTTTAAGAATTGGGCAAGTTAGACTTTCCTTAGACTAATTTTGTTTCCTCTTTTTCTAACAGGGAGTTTCAGTTGGTCCATACTGTACAGTTGGCTCTTCAGTGAAGCTAGGCGATGGCTGCAAACTCTATCCTTGTAGCCATATCTTTGGAAATACAGAGTTGGGGGATTCTTGTGTTCTGATGACGTAAATCCCTTTGATCTCTTAGATTATCGTCCCTAATATAACATGTTTTCTCTGTTCTTTTTCTTTATATCGATTGATCTTCGCTATGTATCTGCCTTGAATTTTCGTCAGCCAGTGGTGCTGTTGTTGGCGATGAGCTTCCTGGTTATACTGTCATAGGAGGCAATAACATTATCGGTCACCACGCCGTGGTTGGTGTTAAATGCCAAGACTTGAAGTACAAGGTGTGTGAGAGAGACGATATCTTGTTGCCTCTTTTGATTGTTATCGTCCTAATCTCGCCCTGATTAGGGAGTAGATACTGATATCCGTCAAGAATTCATGCTCTGTTTTTCTTGTTTTAGCATGGGGATGAGTGCTTTCTTTGCATCGGTAACAACAATGAAATTAGGGAGTTCTGTTCGATTCACAGGTCATCAAAGTCTAGTGACAAAACGGTAAGCAACTGCTCATTGACCAATATGATTGAAGGTTTTGAGATGATTTCCCGTGTTTTGAGCTCTAACTTTCATTTGTTTGAATAGGTTATTGGCGACAACAATCTAATCATGGGATCTTGTCATATCGCTCACGACTGCAAGATTGGTGACCGCAACATATTTGCCAACAATACGCTTCTTGCGGGCCATGTGATTGTAGAAGTAAGATCTTTCTGGTGTGTATACTCTAAACCTGGATTTCGCAGCATGGTTTCATTTGGTTTATGTTGTGAATGCAGGACTATACACACACAGCAGGAGCCACGGTGATCCACCAGTTCTGTCATATTGGCTCTTTCGCTTTCATTGGTGGTGGTTCTGTGGTATACTTTCATCTCATACTCTTAGTTCCGCCCAAAATTCTTAGTAGATACTCACTAGTGCGATTGTATATAGGTTTCACAAGATGTTCCAAAGTACATGATGGTGACTGGGGAAAGAGCTGAACTTCGAGGTTTGAATCTGGAGGGACTTAGACGAAATGGATTTACCATGTCCGAGGTTTGTAGTGTGTCAAAATGTTAAGCCTTTTGAAGTAAGAAGCTGTATATCACTTTCAAATGTTACTCATGTCTTTTTTCTTGGCATTGGTAGATGAAAAGCCTGAGAGCAGCCTATCGTAAGATATTCATGTCTACGGAAACGGTCCCCTTAAGTCTTGATGAGCGTCTCACAAAGATGGTACGTGTTATCAGTTATCACTCAAAAGTCTCTCTTCACTGTCTCAGGCTTGTTACTGCTCAACTCTTTCCATACTGTATTTGATGCTTAATGCAGGAACAGAACCAAGAGCTGTACAGTATTCCTGCGGTTGGTGCCATGTTGCAGTCAATCCGAGATTCTTTCGCAGAAGGTCGTCGTGGGATATGCAAGTTCAGATATTGGCTCAATTCTTGAGTTCACAGCTTAGAGACTTAGATTAGGCATTCATTGCTCAACAATGGCACAACACCATATCTCTCAAGGAATTTGTAATAGTCTTAGCTTTTACCAAGTGTTATCAACATTGTGTTCCTTTAAATTACTTGCAATTTAAAGTAATTTATTTGGTTATTATTACAATACGTTTAAGATGTGTCTACTTACATGAGTGATGGCAAAATCAGGACTTGCATGAGTGATGGCAAAATCAGGACTTGCATGAGTGATGGCAAAATCAATGAAAGAAATTTCATTTGGGTATTATTACAATACGTTTGAAGATGTGTCTACTTACATGAGCGATGGCAAAATCAGGACTTACATGAGTGATGGAAAAATCAATGAAAGAAATTTCATTTGGGTATTATTACAATACGTTGAAGATGTGTCTACTTACATGAGCGATGGCAAAATCAGGACTTACATGAGTGATGGCAAAATCAATGAAAGAAATTTCATTTGGGTATTATTACAATACGTTTGAAGATGTGTCTACTTACATGAGCGATGGCAAAATCGGGACTTCCTTTAAAAATTTACAAGTCGCCTTATTATATCATTACGAATGACAATTACATAAAGTCATGACTAATGAGTAGTCTCTTCAAAAACAATCTTCTTTCTTTCACAGCTTCTTCGTGTGTGATAAACAGTAAACGAAAACATTTATTTACCTCAATCACATTTCATTGGACTACCCTTTGCATGAAGAGTTGGGCAACGGAAGTCAAGAATCAATGGTTTAGGTTTCACAAACTTGTTATCAAGAACCATGCCTGGTACATGAGCCATGTTGTCTTTAGCTATTTGGGCCAGCATTATCTCCATCGAAACCTTGAGGTATCCTTTATCCCCCACTTCCCTCCCATGGGTTGATTTTACTAGAAAATACTTTTCGCCATCTAACTCACCCACACCAATCACTGAAACCGCATGCATTCCTCTAAATGTAGAACCTGCACACGTTGGGCCACGATAGATTCCCTGAAAAAACCAATCTTTTAGTACATATCTAGTATAACAAGTGTTTCAACTTAAACAAGTTTTGATCATATTTAAGAGAATTAGAGATATAGCTTTTTAACGAGTTTGTAATCCGGCATAAAAATATGCAACGATGCTCCAATTGGTTGTGTCTCTAGCTTGATGAGTGCTTCGTCGAAAGATAACATTTCCACGCCATCTATGTGCGCCAAATCACGTGGAATACGTGCCGGTATTTCACTAGCATGTCTACACCTCTTATATGGCCTATGCTCTTCCTTTTGAAGTCCTTCACGAAGAACGTAATGTAACCCTTTCCTTATGCTCAGAGTGTAGCAGTAGTGGTCATGCCTGTTGCAGTTTCTTGCTTTCTCCGGATCAGCAAAATCGAGAATATCTTGAGCTGAGTATTCTATGTAAGTCTTGTTAATCTTCTTGATGAACAACAGTGCACTGACGAGTTCAGCGGCTACAACGGCCCAGCATGTGTCTGTTAAAAAAGCAAGAGGTAGTTATTAGGTGCTCAATATCCAATAACATGAAACTGGACTCGTAATTTTTCATTGGAAAGAGAGATTACCACTACATAATCCTTGATTTCTAACACGGCCCATCTCTTCCTTCCAATTCGTACCCTTCAAGCTATCTTGTACATTCTGAAGTTAATTAGGAAGACACATTACTTCTAAGCCCTAAACAGTATATAGCTCATAAGGTAGCATGAAGACACATGACATGAATCTTACTCGAAATACACGCCAGTATGCATATATTGCATGTTTGATCTTGATGAACTTGATTGAAGAAGTGGGATTTGTTTCCAGGATTTGTGAAATGATTTCCACCGGTAAGTCTAAAATTTCCTATATTAGGAGAGTCGATATGTGAGGATAGTTTGAACGTTACAGGTTTAATAACTTAACAACCAATTAGACCAAGCCTTATAAAAGCTACAAATATCTATATCATATACTTACCTCAGCGACGACTTCCTCTTCCTCCATTGTTTACTCACCTGAGGTCAATATATATACAAGTAATTAAAGATTCATTAGAGAAATTATAATGTATATATGGATATAACCGACATTCAATTGAAGAGAAAGAGTAAAAGAATTTATCGAGTACTTTCCTATTGTTTATCATAAACAAGGGGGTAACAACAACTTCATCACATATGAGAAAGAAACTTTCTAAAGATCAATTTAAAAGAAATGAATAGGAATGGGAATATGAATTGAGTAACATTCAGTCTAATCTCAAACCTAGATCGTTCTAATAAAGTAGCGTAGTCAAAATTTTCAGTTCCTAGAGACAAATCTTGAGTAAATCTTGAGTAAACCAGAGAAGTAGACAGAGAACCCAATAAGCTCATCGCCCGTCAAGTTGCGACGGAAACTGACGACGCTGTGACAACTTGTTTTCTTTTCTTCAGAAGAAGTAATGAAAAAAAAAGAAGAAGAAACATGAAACAACAACTTACCGTGAATGAGAAGTAAACAACTCGACCGGAAGCGGCGAATCGGAGATGGGGCCGGTGCTAAAACCCCACAACAAGCGCCGAGAAAAAAGATTTGTTTAATTATGTTATGCCTTTAAATGCGCATAAAAGAATTAACGAAACCCCTTAGGAACAATTCCGACGTCGTTCTTTCTTTTAGCCCTACGGATCTTTTCATGGGTCAAATGGGCCGGATACCGGCCCATTTGATGTTTAGTCTCTCTCTATAGAGGAATTCCGTTCGTGTCGTCTATGTTTTGGTCCCAGATATGTCGACGAACCAACCTCCTCAGCGCAAGCGAAAGGTCGGAGAAGTCACTCCGACGGCGGGAGAAGTCACTCCGACGGCGGCGGAAGAAGGTAAGACCTATTATGTTTTGGAGGAAGGAAAGTATGTTCCTGTAAAGAAAGTAGGAGGAGGAAGTTACGTCTCACCCCCGGCGTGCGAATCAGACGAGGATGTTGATCCGGTTCTGGAAACCGAGTATTATCGCCAAATTCGCGAATCAGGCGTAAGATTCCTTTTGTTTTTTTTTGTTTTTTTATCCATTGCGTGGTAGATCTGAAATCTCAACTTCTCCGATTTTCTTATTAGCCATATTTAGTGTAGTTTTTATCCTCGAATTCGTAGCACATGGGGTCATGATTCGGTTTTTGCTATCATAGTTTTCTCAGAAAAATGGACATTGAGTTCTCATAAAAAGGATGATTTATTGCTCTTCTGTAATCGATTTTTTTTATTCTCGTATTGATTGTATTTTGTTTCTTCAGGGATTTGACTTGAACATGTCTATTCCGAATGGTTCAATGTTGCCGTTCAAATGTTCAGATGATGATCGGGACGAGATTGCCATTTGTGCTAAGTTGGGACTTCATTGGTACAATTTTCAACGGGTAATTATCTCTTGTTATTGATGATCTATATGCCTCCTCAAGTGAGAGACTTCTCCTTTTTGCTTTTGCTTGTTGTGTTATGGTGGATTCTTGATACACGAGAGAGAGGCCTATTTGTTTGTTTTTTTTTCTTGATTAGATCATCAAGCTACTCTCTCATTAAATATGCTACATTTTTGGTCTATTTATTCACTTTACCATATTTATTCACTTGCCTTTCTTTCTAATTCGTTAGATTCTTGATCAACTGCAGGGCTCAAACTTTCAGCTGCTGCGATTAGAGAAATATAACTCTATACTCACCGGACTATGCACCTATTATATAACTGCAGATGCTATGGATCCAGCCAGTGACTCACGTTTTGTTTTCCAGACGTGTGTTACGAGATGTTCGTGTATGACTTTCGAAGACTTTAGAATAGAGACTGAAGTTTGTAGAATAAAACCCGAAACTCAAGGTTAGCCTCTCTGTGTGTGTGGAATCAAACCCCATAAAAGGTTCTTTGTGAATTTTTAATCAATCATGTGTGTTAAAGAATAAAAATGTTATACTAATGTTGGAATGTTTCAAAAGATGCTGAAGACGAGGGGGACTGCCAATGGAATTATGAGGCAATTGATGATTTTTACAAAGGTGATCTAAAGTGGCTTCCGGATGATGCTCTGGTGCAATCTAAGGATAAGCATCAACAGTATTACGAGGTCAGAGAGAGCATAATGTTCATTTGTTAATATCCATTCTCAATGTGTAGGTAAAGGCTGTTTTTGCGTTTACTCTTATCTTTGATTTTTTTTGTCTTTCACAGGTTCAAGACTCAGACATTCGAGAAAATGATTGGCTTAGTTTGTATGCTGAATACGCGTTTTTTCCGCTCTGGGAAAATAGCTTGGTATGCCTTTTTTGTTTTGTTCTTTTTTGTGAACAAACTAAATATCAGTCTTGGTAATTTTTTATACTACTTTTGTCGTTTGTCTCCTAGACAAAGCTCAAGTTTGGTGTGCCTCTGGAGATCACGAATGTGGTTGTGCAAACTCATGAAGCCATGGAGTCAAAGGACAAGCTCAAGGCCGGGAATGCAATCTTCTACATTAGTTTCAGGGACAGGGCTCAAACCGAAGATCATAGAGCCGTGGTAAGAAGAACCACAGATGGGGTTCTGGGACACCTTTCTCTTGCAGTTAAGTGTCCGGTTTAGGTCTGCTCTATTGACTAAATTTGGTTTGTTTTAAGATGTTTCAGATTATCCTCTGCTGTTTGGTGTTCCAATGTCATTTACTGAATAACAAATAATCCTATCAAGTTGCTATGTCTTAATTTCATTAATCATCCGTCCATGTTAGTTAATCAAGCTGATTTTGTTTGTATTAGTACCTTTTTTTAATTCTATCTAGACTCTAAATCATCAATCTCCACTCTGGCTATTGCTATTGTTTCTTCATCTTCCGAATCTTATTGCCAACGAATTTCTTAATTTTCATTTTCTGTATATAGCATTGCTCTTCTGAAATCTTTTTAGAATTTGTATTTATTAATCATTATGAAGCTATCTAGATCTGCACTAAAATTTTTTAAATCATTAGCCTCTCAAGTACTTACATTATCATTCTACTTCCACGAGGTGCAAATCGGTCCTATAAGTACTTACAGGACTTGTATTCTGCTGCTGATGCCATTATATCTCTTGTATCCCAATGGCTTCAAATTTGAAGATATCTTCCAAATTTCAAGATATCCGAAATTTTCTTCAACCACCAATCAGAGACAAGACAGGGGTTCCAAATTCAGACCATGAAGCAAATGTTGACCATTACATTAGTAGAGGAAGTAGGTCTTGTATTTTGCGTTTCCTTCACAAGACAAGCCTGAATCATACTGATTCAAATTTACTAGTTAATCAGTAGAATCACATCCATGTGTTCTGTTCATACCTGCAACCGTGTTATTCCAACAAAAGTAGAAATGTTTAGTGCTCATCTGGACTGAGATAAGCCTTGTTAACACCTTCATAACCCCTAATCAAACCCTTGAGAACCACATCTTGTTCAGTCCATCATCCACTCGCAGATGAATGCTCATGTCGTCATTGAAGAAAAGTATATACCAAAGAACAGTCTAGGAAACTGGAGCTACAGAGCGTTAAGTTTGGATATTATAGATTTTGTAACTAGACTATGAGTGCACTTCACAGATTCGATCAGCGGATACTTATGAGCATGTAGCATTGGAGCACATTTGGCAATAAAATGTAGCAAGAAGTTTCCAAATTTTAGTGATTTAGAATACCCTTCTGCCATCTCCTGAACCTTAGAAACAAGACAATCAACGGAATCTTGGGTTAAAGGGACGTCATGGATCAAGATGTTCTGGATAATGATGAACAGTGGTTCATTCCATGTTAGCTCATCAGATATAAGATTTTGGTGGCAGGGAAGGAACAAAAACCTCTTCTCTTCTGTTCTTCCACAAAGTAACTTCTGACAAAAAGCAGAGATATGACCCAAATGCCAGCATTCTTTCAGAACCCTTGAAACCACCTCACAAATGAAGTTGTTAATCCCTTCTTTCCTGAGTATCAAAGGGAACACCAACGCATACTCAGCTGCTCTTTGGTGGATCTTACAAAACTCGACTGTTGCAGACATCAACACACGAGAGGCGGATTTCTCAAGAGCCAAAAACTTGGGAAGCACGATCGAACATAGAATCTGGCTTGGCCAACCACCAAGCTCATCATCCTCACTTCCACTATGCAAATTCGAAAGCAAAACTGCAGCAGTCTCATCATCTGCATTCCAAGGCTCAATTAAAGCCAAAACTCTAAAAGAGTCCCTACCCTTGTCCAAGCAAAGTTTCCGAATTTCTTCACATAAGGTTAAAACCTCAGAAGTAGACTCAAAGCTCGTAATCTGAGATCTTAAACTCGCTGTCATTTCATGATCATCAGGCCGTAACGAAACATTCATAGTATGATCAATGTTATCCACGACATCTCGATGATCTACTTCCATAGTGTCTCTGACTTGACTCATCATCTCCTTTCCATTACAGGAATCAACAACTAGCATTTCTGAATGTACATCGTCGAATGATACTGGAAGCCATGGAAGAACTGTACCAGTAGAACCAGCCTTCTCACTTAGCCAATCAGGCACAGAGTCAAATTCCTCCGCAGTGCTGTTGTCATCAGCCGAATCCAAATCAAGACGAGATATCCAATCAAATTTTGGTTCAGGAATTCCATCGAGCAGGTTCTGTGCAGCTCTCTGAACCCAGAAATCGACATCTTTAACACCGCTCAACATTTCCCTCGCCAGCCAAACCAAATCCCTAACGCAAAACCTCCGATACTCTAAGAGGAGGAAAGATAGAATCCGAGACTGAACCATGTTGGGCAATGTCTCAATGAACAGAACCCTAAACGAAAATCAATTTCATGAGCAACCAACCATATCGGTCCAATAAACAGAAAACCAACAAAAAGAAACCAATTTTCAATCTGGGCATTACTTCTTTTCAGGCGGAGATGAATCCTGATCGATTACATCGCATTGTTTCTTCAGAAGTGAAACAAACGAGCTCCGATTGATCGGAGTTGCCGCTGAGGCGGAAGAAGAAGAAGAAGAAGACGAGGAGGAGGATGAAGACAAAGAGTTGGAAGCTTCATCTAGCCATTGCGACGCCTCGGTTTCCGGCGACGGACTCTTGAAGAAAATGACGAAGAGCGGAATCCACTCCTGCATTTTTTGTGTTCCCTCTTTCTCTCAACTAAACCGTCACCGAGAAAAACTAAACGCGGGAAAGCAGACGTTTCCTTTGCCTTTTGACTTTTTATTTTATTTTTATTTTATTTTATACACATCTTTACTCAAGCTGATTTTGTTTCCGCTTCTTATAACGATTTACCAAATTGGAACCATTGAAATGTATTTTTTTCTATATCTGCTGCTCTTTGCTCTTCTACTTATATTGTGGTGATGAATTCTTCTACTACATAGTTAATTGATATTTCTTACTACCACTGGTTTCAGGGTTCAAATTTGCGGTTGGTACGCGTAGAGAAATATAATTCTACATTCTGCGCGCTTATGACTTAACTTTATAACCGTGGAGGCTATGAACGATCCAGCCAATGATTAAATGAAGATTAATTTCCTGTCTCTATCTGAGTTTTGGTGTAAAGATTATGTGTATACATGAAAGGTTTCAACCTCAGCTTTAAGCCATGGGGAGTTTTCTGGAGTAAACGACGTACATTGGATCTGAACGTCCTGGATTTGGAGATATATCAACCGCCTGGATCGGTCACAAGTTGGAACGAATTCATTACCAAGAAAAGAGTGACAAATCTCTTAGAAGGTTTCTTGTAAAGAATTAATTATATTGAAATACCTGAGGAGGTTCAAATCCTCCGGCATAGTGAAAGTATGATCCGACAATGAGAGCGTGATCTGCGTCGCCAGTTGATGTCCATATCGATACTGCTTTCGTAAAGAAGCAACGGTTCGAGAAGCTACAAAGAAAGATAAGAGGAAGTGATCATTAGTGCGAGTCCTCCTGGCTTGTGTGTACTACGGTGTCACAAGACTTAGACAAATTTATGTTTAAAGAGAACCTCATTAGTGCGAGTCCTCCTGGCTTGAGGATTCTGTTCATTTCCTTGAAAACTTCAAGTGGCTTTGTAAGGTAATCCACACTTACCTGTTGAGATGCACAGAAACATACTAATTCATAATAGCTTCGAGATGCAATTAATAAGTGTTAAGTTTTAAAGGAAGTTTGGTCTTTACCACATTGGTAATAACTTGGAAAGAGTTGTCTTCAAAAGGAAGCTTTGGATTGATATTCAAGTCTTGGACTATGTACTCGGTAAGAACCTGAGACAGAGAGAACATAAGATCCTATGATATGATGATCCATCTCATCCCTGAATGGTATATATATTGAATCATCTTTACCGGATTGCGCTTAAGTTCATCTTCGTTCATACCCATTCCAACTATTCGTTCTTGCTTATACCCGGCTGGATAATGACTGACCTATGTAAACATCATAAGAGCCAATAATCTAAACTTCAGGGGATTATTCTCAATAAACACACTGTGAAAGGATTTGAATTGTCGTGCGTACCCAACTGCTACACATATCGAGTATGCTCACTCCCGGAGTATCGCTCTGAGGCAAAACCTTGGAGTAATACTTTGTCAGTGCAGCTATGGCTGGATCATCAATGTGTGTCACAAACCTTGGAGCTTCGTAGAATGTCGAATCAGACGACCTGAAAAAAAATCCAACAATGTTAGGACAAAAGTCACAAGATCTCAGTATGTCTGAATGACTGAGAGGATAAAGCAGAGTAAAGACTATTAACAAAAAGCTTGGGAATTTTATCTTACTCGTCGAATCGCTGGAAATCTTCTTCCTTGAAAGGAAAATTCTCGGGCCAATTCACATTATTCAACGCCTAAATTCAAACAAAGAAGGTCGATTTCAGAAATTTCCCACAAACACTTTAGTCAAAATGTATATCTTTGGTTCAATCACAAGCGACATTTCGAAATGTTAATTCCCAATGCGATTGATACACCTAAATGCCTAAAAGTACGAACTTTGAGACGATTAGCTAATTGAACGAGAAGACCTGTTCGACTGGAGAAGGATTCGTCTGCCTCGCGGAAGCTATGAAAGATTTACCGGACATATTGTTCATCCACAAGGAAACGCCGCTAAAACCTCCCAGAACCAGTCGGCGACGTGAAGAAGCGCGAATCCAACGGTCGACATGTCTAGAAGCAGCCGTCGGGAGATTCAGAGCAGAAGAAGCTCGGAGGAAAGGGGAATATCCGGTGGAGGAGAAAAACAGTGGGAGAGGATTGGATCTGAGGCCAAGAAAATTACAAGTTTTCGGCATTGTTTCATTGATTGGTGGATTTTGTCTGGTTTCGAAGAGGTTTTGGGCTTTTCAGGACAGAACATGACACGATGAGATGGTCTAGCGTATCGAAGAAGATGACGCAACTACTCCAGTGATGCATACCACTGTTACGTGGTCGTTTCTATCGTGGGGTTTATTTACTACTATTTACAAAGCTTTGGGGAAGCAAATGCAATAAAGTAAACTAAAAAGTCTTTTTTTGCAATAAAGGTAGAAATAACAAATTAGGAGTCATTTTTTTTTTCTTTCTTCAAAACAAATTAGAGTCATTAATTTTTAAGAAATTAGAGTCAAAAATAACAAATTAGAGTCATATCTCTGCTTTTTACATCAAGTTATCAGTAACAAAACGAAAACAAGTTGAGACTTTGTTGAGCTGAGACATTAAACTGACTAAACTTCTCTGTTATGTTCACGTCATTACAATTTATAAACTTCTCCAGTCAGCCACTTGATCAGTTTCTTTTTTTTGGTAACATAGAGTGACCCCCTATTACCTTTTTTATCAACGTGATTTGGTAATATATTCCTTGTTACTGTACTTGTAATGACTCAAAACACTTATTCTATAATGGATTTGGATATAGACAGTAATACCACAACGCCATGAACAGGAACTGGATCTGAGATTTTGGGGACTTGAAACAAAAACAGGAATATGGGCTTAATTGGCTTTATAAAAAAAAAAATTTTTAAAAACATTATAGACTAAATTAGACAAAAAAAAATTGGGGATTTGAAACAAATGTTTCAATGGGTTTGGCCCAGATCCGGCCCCATTAGTAACCAATGCACCAATCTAGCTCGACATTTGAACTAGCATTTTGTAATTTAATTTTGTGCATTCTTCATCTATATCACTATGACACTATATATTCAAACCATACGACTCTTCACTACATTACAATCCACTTTCTACTAAACTACAACAAAATAGTCCTACCAACTTCGCTTTTAAAAAGAGGATTCACAAGTCATCATGGAGTCTTCTTCACATTAAGATCCTAAAGAGTCACAATCCCCTTTTTAATAATAGTAGCTAATGTTGGTTGCGTTGTGAATGAAGTAAAGACCATTTACAAAGTACAATTCAATATGCACACACATAAGTTTCAAGACTTGCTTCTCCACTTCTCATCTCATTTCCAGTCTCTCAACATAAAACGAAATCCCAAAACAAGATCCAAAAAAAAAAAAACAGTCAGAAACAATGGGACAGCCCTCCAACTTCGTTCTCACTCGCCAAGAAGCAGAATCCGCCGGCGTCGTCAACGACCCAATGAACCTAGTCTCGCTGATTGACCGTAAGGTATCACTCGGTTTGGCTCCAATCTCCGGATTCAATGTTGGAGCCGTTGGACTCGGATCATCTGGTGTGGTCTACTTAGGCGTCAACATCGAACTCCCTGGTCTTCCTCTTCACCACTCCATCCACGCCGAGCAATTCCTCGTCACCAACCTCGTTCTCAACTCCGAGCGACAGCTCACTCGCTTAGCCGTCTCCTCCGACGGCTCCGTCTTCGACGCTCCGTGTGGTCACTGCCGCCAGTTTCTTCAAGAAATACGCGAGGCGCCAAAGATCAGAATCTTGATCAAGAATCCAACAAAGAACAAGAACGAATACGTGAATCTCGATAGCCTCCTTCCACGTCCGGACACTAATCTCCTCCCGGAAGAGTTACCTCTCCTACTCCAGGCGCGACATAACGGCCTCGCTTTCTTGGATCCCGTAGTTTCCGCCGGAGAGACCGATCTGAAAAGCATGGCTCTAGCGGCGGCGAACAAATCGTTTGCTCCCTACAGCATGTGTCCGTCGGGAGTTGCGCTGAGGGGTCGCGATGGGAAAGTGTACAGAGGATGGTACATGGAATCGGTTGCGTATAACCCAAGTTTAGGGCCTGTACAAGCGGTCTTGGTTGATTACGTGGCTAACGGAGGTAAAGAGTTTGATAATATCGTCGAAGCTGTGCTGGTGGAGAAGAAAGATGCCATGGTGAGTCAAGAGGACACATCAAGGATGATTTTAGAGAAGATATCCAGCCGCGACTTCGTTTTCAAGGTTTTCCATTGCAGCGAGCTGGCTAAGCCCTAAGAATTATATGTGAGAACTGAAACGAGATTTGAAAAGTTAATGCGTGTTTATAAAAATGGTGATAAAGAGTATGAAAATGTAAGGGAACGATCATATTAATCCAGTATAGGGCAATTATAATTGTTCATAGTTTTAAAATTGAACTATTGAAGGATGATAATAAAATAATTATAATCGTTACTGTTATGTTTTGTTTTCTTCTTGGGTTTATGCAGTAGTAAATTTTACAATCTCAAATCACTTCGTACGTAAAAACAAACAACAAAATTTAATAAATTTAATAAAACAACAAAAAGAGATAAAGAAACAGAGAACAGAGAACCTATATATATGGAGAAAAAAATGTGAAGATGCCTAATTTGAAGAGAAAAATCTGCATCGGCTCAATGTTTCTGAGGTTGTTAGATGATATTTCGTGTAGTACACGGGAATGTTTTATTTAAGGACAAAAGAAGAGAGGCCTTCCACGATGTACTAAAGGAGAGATATTCAAAGGAATGGATGGATTACCCTTAAACTTTTCACAGGAAAACTTTGATGCTATAACGAGACTGTCATTACTTGCAATCTGGAGAATTAAAAAAACTTAAAAAGAGTCAGTAGACCTTATTGTCTACAAGGACAGTATACCTGCAAGCTTAAATCCACATAAACCTAGAGAAGACATTCGAACAACTCGAAGTAAGGAGACTTGCATTCTATAGAACAGAGGAGCCCTAATTAAACTCACCACCTTTTTCCTTACTCTAATGAAAAATATAAAAAATTAAAAGAAAACAGAGAAGCCCTAATTGTTATCGATTTGCGATTTTTGGATTATATATCTCCTTGAGCAAATTGACAGATTTCAACTCAGTTCCGTGTGCGATGGCGACGAGAAAGGTAAAAACTAGGTCTAAAGATGCAATCAGCTCTCTTCCAGACGAGACACTTGCTCAGATCTTGTCCTTTCTCCCCACAAAACGAGCTGCTTCAACCTCAATCCTCTCCAAAAGATGGAGAAATCTGTTTTCACTCATGATACTTCTCTTCGCTCCACAACACCACCTCGACTTGGACCAGTCAGATTTCTTGCATCCCAAACAAGGTAAAAGACAGAGACGACGAAGGAGGGAAGAGATTCACAAAAGCTTCAGGACTTTTGTTGATAAAACCCTGTCTCTGCAAAACACCATCAAGAAATTCTCACTAAAGTGCCGAGATGATCCTGTCGACATTGCTCAGACCAACCGATGGATATCATGTGCCTTGGAACTCGATCTTCGCATAAAGACCGATTGTGAGCATAACGAGCCACAACGTCCTCTTCCTTGCACTATCTTCACCAGCAATACACTGGTTAAACTGACATTAGGAACAGAGCTTTGTGTCGGAGACAGATCTCCACTAGTGTTCCTTCCGATGCTAAAGTATCTCTTCCTCGATACAGTTTACGTCTCAGAGGACGATTTTTTTATGTACATGCTTGAAGGTTGCCCAGCGCTTAGAGAACTCGTCTTCAATTACAAGTACATCAACCATGAAGACGCTCCACAAGATCTTCCATGTATATCCCAACCCAACCATCAAATTAAAGAGTCACAATGCGCACAAAGTTTGAAGATATCATCTTCGAGACACCGAGTCTTGTGTACCTTGACTACTCTGAAAGATCTAGATGTTACATTAAGTCCGCCAATTTCTTTAAATCTCTTGTCGAAGCCCCGCTAGATCTTGTGGGGGGACTGATAAGAGAAGGCCCCAACCGCCGCGGCAACCAACTTCGTAATCTATCAAGAGTCTTTCGTTGGATAAGCCACGTTCGCATCCTTGACTTCTCTTCAAATACTGTGGAGGTCTAAAAGTCATTCCCTTCCCTTACTTTGGTTTTTCTACTTATCATGACAATGACCTCTAGTTGATTTGTTTGTTTATGGTGTGGTGTGTTGCAGGTTTTGTATTCAGTCTTTGATTATTGGATGACTGTCCTTGGTTCCAAAAACTGGTTAAACTCTCGTTCGAGTCTAAAACAAAACGAGGTTGGAAACTGCTTACGAGTTTGCTCAAAAACTCTCCAAAGCTAGAAACTCTTGTTCTCAAGGTATAATTTATACAGTTTTTTTTTGTTTGTTCTTGCACATTTAGTATATACTGTCTTACAATATATTTGTTGGCTCAGGGACTTCACTGTATCAACAGTCGTGGAGTCTGTGTCAGGGAGAATGCAGTGAAGGTGTTAGAGATATCCAGTTATAGAGGAAGTGTTAAAGAATTAAGGCAACTAGAGCGTTTCTTGTGCCAAACAGATTCTCTTCAAGTGATGAAAGTGGAAGTTGACATTGGTATTGAAGATGATGACAAGAAACTGCAACTTACCAAGGAGCTTCTTGCTGTACTTTCCAAATGTCACTCCAATTGTCAAATCCAGCTCGTATGAGGTGATATTATTATCTATATACTAAGTGGTTGATTGCTAGATAAACATTTTAATTAAAAAAAAATCATAAAAAAAAAAATTGTTATTAAGTTTTATCAATTGATAAAACAAAGGAAAAAAAAAAAAAAAACAGTTTTCATTTGTTGACCAATTTGTTTCTTTCCTATATCTCTATGAGACTCCAAACCTCTCTATCCATGTCAAACTTCCCATGTACAATCTGTCGGCTCGTAAGTGTGTTTGTTGTCTCTGCTAGAACGTGAAGCTCTACTTGAACAGCATGGCCATCTTTCGTACACGGGAATGTTTTATTTAAGGAAAAAAGAAGAGAGGACTTCCACGATGTACTACTAATGGAAAGGAGAGATATTCAAAGGAATGGATAGAGACCCTTAAACTTCTCACAGGAAAACTTTGATGCTATAACGAGACTGTCATTACTTGTAACTTGGAGAATCACAAACCTTAAAAGAGTCAGTAGACCTTATTGTCTACAAGGACAGTATACCAGCAAGCTTAAATCCACATAAACCTAGAAGACATTTGAACAACTCGAAATAAGGAGACGTGCATTCTATAGAACACAAACAAAGTTGTTTGATATATATACCAGTGAAGGACCATAAATCCATTTAAAGCTGCGCATCAAACTCGGAGATACATCCTTGACCATAGTCTCTGATAGCCTAATCGTTATCTTCACTGGCTGCTAGCATCTGAGGCAATAGCCTCACCACGATAAACTCTCCATGGTCCTCGATAGAATATTGGCTTCATCAGAGGCACCGTTTTCCCTGGATGCTCTTCCCAAAATTTCTCCTGTTTACAGAGTGGAGTAACATAAATTTACAGTAAAACAAGACGCATAACTTATTCTAGTAACTGATTCACATACAACAGTTTTAAAAATCAATATCAACAGGAAAAACCCTCAAGAACCATGGATTGATTAAGAGTTTCATTTGCTTCTAGATACCACCATACCAATCATTAATCAGCTTCGTTGATAGACTTCATCAACAGTTCTATGAAGAACAATTCAAATGTAGGTTTTTTGTTTTTATTGAATACGAAATCCTTTATCAGTAATGAACAAACCTCCATTCCCCAAAGTATTGATGCACTAATGCACTCAAGAAAATTTCGAATGTTCAGATCATCACCAAAGAAGAGTTCCCATTTTGAACCCTAAGATTGCCAATCACGAGAACCCGGGATCGAATACACTAAATCGGATAGGAACCCACAAAATCTAATCACGAATCCGAGCCGAATCGATAACACCAAGAAGCTTACCTTGTAAATCTGCTCTGTAATCGCAGCGCCGATGACGCCGGTGTAAAAGGCGGCGACATAGATAGTAATCAAAGTTGTGAAGGTTTTGGGTCGACGGTACGGTTCAATCATTTCCCAGACAGCAAATCTCTCGAACTTGTTGTACTTATAATCCGCGTATTTCCTCCATAGTTGGCTCCACATTCCTCCTTGCATCTCTCAGATTTCTCCTTCTCAACGTTCGCCGATTTTTGGATTTTCGCGGCGGCGCGTGCAACCTGAGAGAATCTGGAAACAAGCAGGACTTAAAAGTTAAAAAAAGTTTATACATTTACCAGACAATCCTCATATTCCTGTAAGTTCTAGTTTTCAGCCCTAAACTTATCTTTAGGCCCACTTTAGTGTTGAGCTCAGACTTTGTAATTTTATTATACCTTTGAACTTACATAAGATAAATTTCTTGTAATCTTTGTAATTTTATTGTACTTGTTTTTAACCATTGATTGTTATATTGAAAAACTTAAAAGTTTACCCCAAAACTATGCAAAATAGACATATTTAACCTCACACATGCATCATACAACAATAAGGACCAGCAGTAAAATACATTTGCAATTGCCTGTTGGCAGAAAAATCCTAACATGCTTCAGGAAGAGTATTCTTTTATACCAAAAATAATGACAGATATACAGAATATTAAGCTCAGTATTTGCTTGAGTAACCAAAGACTGTTGCAGAAATAAATCTAAAAGCCTGGAACTTCAACTTGATCCAGCTGGTTTGGCTGCACTCGTCTGCACAGATAAAGATTCCAAGGTTAACCCTTCAGGTCCCTTGGCTGGACCAATGCTGCAACGAGCGGTGTTGTGCAGTCTGATGGCATCTTTTATCTTCTGAAACTGAAAGAAGAAAAATCCAACGAGAATGTCAAATAGTAATCAGAGACAAACCAAAATGCGTTCAAGAAGTTTGGATCTATTATATCAGCAAAGATTTGATGCCAGAATGTCCAATGGTATCAATGATACTAGTTTATCCCAAACACTAGTCAGAGAAAAGGTGAAGAAACCGAATAGCCGGATTTTAGCAGTTTCTTTACCTTAGCTAGAGAACATGAGAAGGACTCAAGCTGGCCATCAGCTCCCCGGTAAAAGTGGAAATAAGGAAGCACTTTCACGTTCAAACTCTTGCACATGGGTTTGTTCTCATCAAAGTTTACTTTGAGAAACAATATATCGGGATTTTCCACTGCTGTCTTGCAAAGCTGAAAAGATTTCAAAACAAGACACACCATCTTAATTGATCACAAAAGAGTACTGGAATTCTTATAGCTTTGTAGAAATAATAACTTGAGCTTACCTTTGGGAACAATGCTCTGCAAGAACCGCACCAAGTTCCATAAAACTCTACAATGACTAATCTTTCGCCTGCTTCGCTTAAAGCCTTCAAGAATTCTTCAGTAGAATGAATGTCGACCATGTTTGGTCCAGCATTCCTCTCCCACCATTTCGGTGGCTCTGTCTCCGCCACGCTCTCATCCACCTAAACCACAAACACACATCAGAAAACTTCAATTATGGCCGAAAAGCATCACAATTTACTTTGAACTAATCCAAAGCATAACCCTCTCTAACGAAAAACTGAAACTTTAGACTTATTTTGATCATTTGAAGTGGGATGAGATTCTATAGCGTACTATTACAGTACCAGAAACCAATAGGATTCAAGAGCAGCTAAAGAACATAACTTAGCTTCTAACAAACTGCAAGAATTGCCTAAATATCAAACAGTGAGCTAAGATTGCCGAAATCAGTTTCCAGATTTTCAATACACAAGTCACAAATCACGTTTTGAAGCACTACCTAGAGGCCAAGGACATAAAAAAATGAAAGTGAAGAACATGAAATCAGAAATTGGCTCGAGAATCAATCAATTTCCAAAAGGGTATTCGATTTAGGGACAGAAACTGCTAAAAGACAAGACATTTTTTTTTTTCACCTTGACGCGAACCACTTTGCTCTTGGGTCGTCTAAGGGGACTTTGGCTTCCGAGACCAGAAGATGGGTAATGAGAGGACGAGCACGAGGGAGAAGAGGAGACCAGGCGCAATCTCTTATCAGAATTAAGATTCGAATTTGGAGGTAAGCAAGGTTGTAGAGAATTGAGAGTGGTCGCAAAGGAGGTGAAGGACGAAGAGACGCGAAGGGCCTGGACCGACGTCGCCGATAATCGCACGACTCCAGCCATCTAAATTTACCTACCGAGAAAGATAAGAGAGAAAAGAAACTGAGATTGTTCTTCGCTTTGTCTTCTCCGAGAGATCCTCCAGGAGGAAAAGAAGATTTCTCAAAGAAGATCAGAAACTGTCTGGTTCAGATTCCAGTGATATATCTCTCATCATGTGCCTCTCTCTCTGTCTCCAAATATTCATAGACGCGATTTTAACAGAGAAATGGCGTTTTGGCTACCGTCATTTACTTGGCGTTTTCTCGATGCGTTAGCGTTGAAGAAGTGTAAACGCGTCTTGTTTCTCCTTAGAATCGTATGTTAACACTTAACAGACATCGCAGAAGAGTAAAGGTTTTCTCACACAAGAAAGTTATGACTCAAAATGAAATTTTGGTCTCGAACAAATAAATGATGTACAGTACAAACAAAATATCTAAAGAAAATATCATATTCTCTTTTTTTGTAGATCTTTGCTTTTATGAAAATTTATAATTCGTTTTCAACACAAACAACATACTTATGATCGTATAGGATTTTGTTTTGATGGTGAAAATACCAAGTTTAATTCAATTTTGTTTTAAGTCCATTCACATTTGATCAATCGAGTAGAGGCCAAGTTTCTACCTCGTATAGAAATGATAAAATCTCAGTCTAGCATATACTTTCTGACAAGTTATCTACTTTGGATCAAGATATAAAGGATGATTCAAAAAAGGAAGATTTTGGTTGTTAAGGAGTAAGTGAAATTGAGTCTGCAACTACAAGAACATCGGATAAACGATTGAGTATCCAATTCAAAGCAATCGTGTTGCTATGGTGAAAGACTGAAAGTACAAAGTTTCCAATCTTAGCATCACATTTTATGACAAGTTTAAGAATTCAAGATGTCACAACAAGTTTAGTAGAACATCCTGTTAAAAACCGTAAGAAAACAACATACAGATCAAAACGCGTTCATGTTTCGTGTTTGCAGCGGCTTGAAAACGCAGCCATAGATTCTAGGCTGCCTTTTATTGACAGAAGAATGAACTTACCCTACACTGCTACGCGCGTGGCAAGAGAACGTTTGAAGGAAACTCGTGAGATCCATTGTTTGGCGCAGCTTTTAGTCCTAGAATCGAACTGATCAGGTTGTATATCTCAACATTCTCAAAAGAAGGCACTTTCCTTCCTTTTGCGAACATAGGACCGTGCCCGATGAATATAGTCCTCATCGAAAAGAACGCATTGTCATACCCGTGAGCTCCACCACATTCCTTGGCTTTACTCTTCTTCTGCTCAACCTTGAATCCTTCATCGACTAGCCCTATGATAGGCGGGATCCGATCACTATCTACATAATGCAGCCTACTAGGTAAATCCTCTTTGAGATAAACCTTCAAGTACTTCCCATTCTCAACTTTACCTGAGCTCAGGCCTTCGTTTATCTTAGCCACGATATCCGCTGCACTGTGATCTGAAGGTGGTTTAATCGCCAGCAAGGGAGTGTAATACTGAACCCAGCTGCTAGGGATTTTGATCCAAGGAGCTAAATCATCAAGAACAACTAGCTTTTTATCACAAGTTCCAACCATTCCATGATCACCAACCATAATCATAGTCACATCCTCAAAAATCCCTCTTTTCTTCAACCCATCAATGAGTCTTCCTATTAACCGATCAATGTTAACTACAGCTTCTGTGATCTGAGGATCATCAGGGCCAACTTGGTGACCTTGATGATCAGGGTCTTCAAAATAAAGCGTCATGAAACTAGGGATATCGCTACTAGGCAAATCGAAATAGCTCAAGATAGTATCAACCCTATCATCAAAAGGAACAGAGCCATTGTAGTCTTGACAATAACCTTTAGGACAATTCCAGGAGCCTTTGTGTACCTCAGAGCCAGGCCAGAAGTAAGTAGCAGCCTTGAGCCCTTGGTTCACTACTGTTTCCCACAACGGCTCACCTAACCACCACTCTGGTTCGTGGCTAGCCATTGTGAAAACGTTCCCTGTTTCTGGATCCAAGAACCTGTTGTTGATTATGCCGTGATAAGCTGGGTATAGACCAGTGACGATGGAGTAATGGTTTGGGAAAGTTAGTGTCGGGAAAACTGGGATTAAACCCGTCTCGGCTTCTGTTCCGTTGGCGATTAAACGGTGGATGCTGGGGAGTTTGGTCTTGAATTGGTACCCGAAGCGAAACCCATCTGAGGAAATCAATAGAACCACAGGCTTGTCGAGTTTCTTCAGTGGGCGAGCTACGGATCTGTCGAAAGTTGGTGACTTGGAGACTTGGTTGAGCGAAAGGACGGGTTTTTGGGAAGAGAAGAAGAGGAATGCGAAAGCGGAGGCGGCGGAGAGAGCGACGCAAGTGACGACAAGGAGAGATGTGAAGATGAAGCAGCTTGAGATGCTGTTAGTGGAAGAATTGAAATTAGAATCGGATTCGGAGGAATCTGCGTTATTGTCGAGAAGTGCGATTGATTGGCTTGGTGGGTCTTGGTCTTCTTCTGGTGTAATAGCTTTGGGCTTTCTCGCTGATAATGTGTCGCCGGATATCATTGCTTATCTCTTCTCCTTGACTGATCGGTGGATGCCTCTCTCAAACCGAAAGTTGCAAGCTTTGTGGGTTCAGAGGTTTTGATTAAATTAAGGTCTCGAACTCGCTGGATTGGAGTGACTTTCACATCTCGTTTTCGACGGATCGAGATTCTTATGGACGCTCATGAATCTGCCACGTTTCCAGGTAAAAAAGTCTCCAATTGATTAGTCAACAGCTGAGAGAGTGAAAGAGACATCAAAGAATTACGGTTAAATGGTTGGTTCCTCTTCGCTGTCGTTTCGTATTCTCCACTTAGACAAAAATTGAGTCTTACTTATTTTTATATTTTATCGTTTCCCGGTGAGAAAAAGCAGCAGCAAAAGGAGTGGTGGCAAACTGGCAATGGCGTATGTTAGCATTAGCGAAGCTCCCTAAAACGCATCTGCGACGCCGTTTCGTAACAAGAATCGTTTCTTCGGTCTTTCTTCCAACTTGGCCTCTCTTCTCTCACTTTTTTTTTTTTTGGTAAAAGTCTCTTCTCTTCTCTCACTTGCCTACGCTCTCAACGTCTTCCAGGTCATCTCTCTCTCTATCTCTCTCTATCATTGTATCAGTGTGCATATAGACTCTGATTCACACAAAAGATTCCAAATTTGCGTGTTTTGTTTTGTTTACTAGAAACTTGAGTCAGTAGGAGTGAGATATCACATATCTCAATGCGTCTCTATAACCATAGGTGTACGTAATCTGCGGTTAGTGGTTAAAATTGATATAATGGATTTTGTCTGTTTGTCAATGCCATACACATTGATGATCCTCAAGGAATTCAAAATATGAATCCAGGATACTCACTCATTGTGTGAAAGAATAATGAATAATCCAATTAGGATCCTCCTGCTTCACCAACTGAATATCAATTTTTCCAATTGGGTTTTGTAACTGATCTGATTAAGTCTGAGCCCTCTCTCTCTCTCTCTGTATATGTATGAGTGTGTGCTATCTACTAGAAAGGACTCAAGAATTTGGCCGAGTCTTGCTTGACCTCTGTTGTTTTGCAACTGGTCTTATGAAACAGGCTGTGAATTTTGCTTTCTTGAATGTTGAAATCTAAACTAAAAACGAATTAAAACCCTGCTTAATCAGTTCCACTAGTAAACTTTGTTTTTTTGTTTGTTTAGCTGCACGTTCTTGGGTTATTTGGTTTTCGAGGCTAATCTCGTGACATAGGCACATGTCAGGATTTCGTTTATGTTGCAGCGACTTGACAAATCAAACTGCCAAGAAAATCGAATTTTGAAGTATGATCATTAATAGTTCACTTACAATACTTAATACTTAGACCATGTACATCAGTGAACTTGTGTATTGGGTTCTTAAAATTTTTAAATTTGTTTTTTTAGTTATGAACAATGTTTCTTAATTTTTAATTAATTAAAAAAATTTCCCTAAACCAATCACAATGCGCCACGTCGTTGATAAATTGTTTTTAGAGCATGTCTAATGGTGATTTCCATAGAGGAGTTCATCGAATTAAAAAAACATTTTTTTGGGTTTGTGTGGTTTGGGATGAACCTCGTGTAAAATTCGGGTTCTAGTAGTGAACCCCCAAATGGGGTTCATCCGGATTAAAATAATATTTTTTTTAATTTAAAAAAACATTTATTATAATAGAAAATACAATATATTACATATAATCTTAAAACATACAATAATTTATTACACATAATCTTAAAAACATACAATATTTGAAATAAAAAAAAAAACTTACCAAATTTAGTCCAGATATTTTCGATAAAAATCAAACCTCATCAATCTATTCCGGGCAAGAATAGTACTTACGACCGGATGCATCGGCTTGAAGCTTCACAATACGACCGCAGAAGCACTTATGCGGTATGCCATAAGTGGCATCAGCGTATGCCCAATCTGGGACCTCTTCTTCAGAAGATCCGCTGCTGTAGGATGGCATAATCCGTCGATAAACAAAACATGATCAATAACAACATCATCATCAATAACTACTTAATAACATCGACAATGGCAAAAGGCAAGATGATCAAATCATATAACATAAAACATACAAATGATAGATGGAAAGCACATATATCAAATAATATCACATATTATAAACACCAAATCATATCACCTATATGAATCATCCTCGATAAAGCATCTAAACCTAAACCTGAATGATGCAACTCACATAAATCAAATCAAATCACAAATTTGAACCAGCAAATCAAATTACATATATGAATCATCATCGATATACCCTCTAAACCATAACCTGAATGATGCAAATGGAAGAAACCATTAACCCATCGAATAAAAATTGAACAATTGAATCCACTCAACCATGCAAGCGAATTCATGAGGTAAAGCACAGGTATGTCATTGTAGTAACTCAATTGAAACCCCAAAATAAAGGCACTCAAAATTTCCCCAAATTTCTGAAAACCCTAATTTCATCGCATACAAATCCATCACATATTTCATCGACCATGCAATCCAAACCGAAATAGAGCTAAACCGAAACAAAAACCATGTTTTCTACCCAAATTGAAACCCCGAAAGAAAAGCCCCAAAATTTTTCTCCAATCTCAAAAACCCTAATTTCGTCGATTTGAAATTCACGGAAATCAGTCAAATACCATACGGAGAATCGATTACGGGTATCAAATAAGAGGCAAGCATCCGTTATCCACCCAAAATCCCAAAAAAAAATACCGATTTTGGATTTCAAGTTTTTCCCCAAAATATACGAAACCCTAATCCTGCAAATTCGTAAAAAATAAACCGAGAACTAAAGAACAGAGGATTACCTTGACGATGAGACGGAAGCGCGGTGCTAGGATTACCAACCCACCGGAAAATTTCGCCGGTTTGCACGGAATCGAAAGAATCCTCTTGAATCATCAGAGAAGGGAACACGAAAGAGCAAAAATATTGGAGAAAGAGAAATGAAATTTGGGCCGATCATTTTTTTTCCTCCCCCAAAATTACCCCAATTTTCCTCCAATCCTATACAACCACGTGGATAAGAGGTGGGTTCATCAGGTTCAACCAGATGAACCGATCCGTCGATAATGGGCTTTTTTCCTTTTTTTATTGTGATTTGCATATGATTTCGAGCACAAAATAGGGGATGAACCCCCACTGGACATGCTCTTAGGTCTCTTGTTTTAGGGATGATTCTAAATTTTTGGCCCATTTTTCATTTACTTTTTTCAATTTGCCTAAGAAATTGTGTTCTAAGACCATGTCCATCAGTAAACTCCTGAAGGAAGGGTTCATCAGAATATAATACTATTTTTTTGTTTTTTTTTTAAATTCAAAAATTATTGTTTTAGACCAATCAAGATGTGCCATGTGTGAAGAGACTGTCTCTTCAAATTCATCGGAAAAAACCCGGGTCATAAACCCCTATATTTTTTCTTATTTTTTTATTATATTTCGTTTTAGAATCTGTGTCATGAACTCCTCAAAAGCCTCTGATAGACATGCTCTAACCCTTTATGAACTTTTGATATACATGCTCTTATAACTAAGCTCTTGCCATAATATGCCTTAGCCTTTTATCAAACAAACAAACGTCTACCAAAGTACTAATACATTGATTTAGGGTATACAAACTTTGGAAACTGGCATATCAAACTATTTTATAAGTCTTTTACTAACAATTTTGAATCATAAATTCTGGCGACCGCAATAATATTTATTGTCTAATAGCAAAAAGAAAATGAATCATGTAATTAGATTCTATGCAATATAGTCAGATTTTCTTACATAAACTTGTGATATATAATTAACAGTCCACAGTTCTGACGTTAGTGTTAATTAATGGAGTATCTTATTAACTCTATAATATCTTAAGCCAACATGCTGAGTTGCTGACTTGTGTATTATAAAAAGGAGCAGGTAACTTTTAATTGTAAAAGTTCCACCGTATCAATAGAAATCTTCATAAAGCGAAACGGTCAGAAAATGTCCAATTATTGAAATAAAAAATAGCATTTCTTTATATAGAACATGAAATAAAATAAAATATTCCTTGATATACTAAAGTTTAAAGAGATTCAATTAATAGCATAGTAGTATTTATCGGATCTCAGTGGTAATAGCAATGTATATCTCATTGGTAAGAGCAATGCATTTAGAAATACAACCAACTTTCTCCAAAAAGATATGTTAAAGCTTAAATTCAAAATACAACTAACTATCCACGTACATAGTTCAATTCGATTTCCAATTTGATTTTAATTTACTTATGAAGCATAAAAACCAGATTGAAACAAATGATGTTTTTATAGCAAATTATGTGTTCCTATTCATCATCATGGTATCCGAGTCATGTTTCTCTCGATGGATATTATCCAAATAACATTTGGGCACTTCTTTTATTCATATGTTGATACATTAATTGACTTCGAAATAAAACAGTAGAATGCATCAGAAACTAGAAGCTCAAGTTAGTATTTTGTTTCATTCTACTTGCGCCGTTTCTCCAAAGGGCAAGAGAAGGCTACGAGTAAACAAAGAAGAACCATTGTTCGGAGCTGGTCGGAGTCCGAGAATATCTGCAACGACATTGTAGATCTGAACATTCTCGAACGACGGCACTTTCTTTCCTCTCCTAAACCTAGGACCATGTCCTATAAAGATTGATCTCATGGAGAAGAACATGTTGTCGTATCCATGATCCCCGTAACATTCGTGAGCGTCTGTTCTGTTCTGTCTAACTATAAGACCTTCTCCGACCATTCCTATGATCGGCGGAATCCGAGAACTCTCGGAATAATGAAGCCTTTCTGGTAGCTTCTCCTTCAAGTAAACCTGCAAAAACTCTCCGTTCTCTACTTTCCCTGAGCTCAATGCTTCGTTCATCTTGGCCACGACTTCTGCGTTCTTCTCTCCTGGATTCTTAACATCTTTGCCCCAGCGCGGATTCATCGCTAGCACCGGGCTATAAGCCTGGATCCAATCCGCAGGTATCTTGATCCAATCTGCTAAATCATCAATGTAAATCACTTTCTTGTCACAGTTAGTAACCATTCCGTGATCACCAAGCAATACCACATGAACATCACTAAACACTTTCCTCTTCTTCAATCCATTGATGACCCTACCGATCATTTTATCGACCTTGGCAACAGCCTCCGTGACCCGAGGATCATCGGGGCCATATTCATGACCCTGTATGTCTGGTTGGTCAAGATACAGAGCCATGAAATCCGGGATTTCAGTCTCGGGAAGATCAAGATAGCTCAAGATTGTATCAACTCTTTCTTCTAGAGGAACAGAAACGTTGTAAGGAGCTTTACAAAATCCTTTTGGGCAGGTCCAAGAGCCTTTGTGGACGTCAGCGCCTGGCCAAAAGTAAGTCGCAGCCTTGAGCCCTTGGTTCACGGCGGTTACCCACAACGGTTCACCTAACCACCATTTCGGGTCTAGGTTTCTGTTGAAGAGTTCCCCGGTTATCGGATCGGTAAATTTGTTCATGATAATACCGTGGTAAGCTGGGTAGAGTCCTGTGGCGATGGAGTTATGGTTTGGGAACGTCATGGTGGGAAAAACCGGGATTAAACCGGTCTGTGCTTCGGTTCCTCTCGAAATGAGCAGATCTATGTTTGGTGTCTCCGTCTTGAATTGGTAACCGAACCGGAAGCCGTCGCTGGAAATGAGTAGAACCACCGGTTTAGTGAGCTTCTTGGAGGGGTGGGGACTCCAGATGGGTGATGACGGAAAATTTGAATCATCGGCGGTGGCGGTGGCGGTGGCGGCTACGGCGAGGACGTTAAGAAAAAGGAGGGTTTGAGATAACCTGCACCAGGGATAACTGGTAAAACCAGACCGGCCAGGTTTATTTTTCGCCATTTAGAAAGAAAGTTTTGATGATGGGTTTAGCTCAACAACGTTCATGTTATTTATAAAGCGAGAAATTATTTCCTTGCTTAATATTTTTATAATTTGGATATTTTGGAATAAATTATGTATATCTCCGCGAACCCGGAGTTAAATCATATTATATGGTCTCATCTCAAAATACCACTCCATGTGACCAAAATTTAGATGTGTTTTGTCAGTCGAATTAACAACACTTAATATTTTCTCTTATTTTTAATTAGAGCTCGTTTTTCTTGCTCAATTAAATAACTATTTAAATCTCAAGCTAAAACACAAAATTAAAAGAACACAATTATCATTTATTATTCATGAATGCATGCGACTAAGAGCTTTTTAGCTTCCTTGATTCATTGTACTTCTCATGTTTCTTTAAAGGGCGAGAGAATGTTTCTCGTGAACAGAGAAGAACCATTGTTCGGAGCTGGTCGGAGGCCGAGAATCTCTGCAACTACATTGTAGATCTGAACATTCTCGAACGACGGCACTTTCTTTCCCCTCCTAAACCTAGGACCATGTCCTATAAAGATAGATCTCATGGAGAAGTATTTATTGTCGTATCCATGATCTCCGTAACATTCGTGAGCGTCTGTTCTGTTCTGTCTAACTATGAGACCTTCTCCGACCATTCCTACAATCGGCGGAATCCGGGAACTCTCGGAATAATGCAACCTTTTCGGTAACTTCTCCTTCAAGTAAACCTGCAAAAACTCTCCGTTCTCTACTTTCCCTGAGCTCAAAGCTTTGTTCATCTTGGCCACGACTTCTGCGTTCTTCTCACCTGGATTCTTGACATCTTTGCCCCACCGTGGATTCATTGCTAGCACCGGACTATAAGCGTCGATCCAATCCGCAGGTATCTTTATCGAATCTGCTAAGTCATCAATGTAAATTGTTTTCTTATCACAATTGGCCACCATTCCGTGATCACCAAGCAATATCACATGGACCTCATCGAAGATCTTCCTCTTCTTCAGACCCTGAATGACCCTACCGATCATTTTATCGACCTTTGAGACCGCAGATGTAACCCGAGGATCATCGGGGCCATACTCATGGCCCTCTTTGTCCGGTTGATCGAAGTATAGCATCAAGAAATCTGGTATTTCGCTCCCGGGAAGATCGAAATAGCTCAAGATCGTATCGACCCTTTCTTCGAAAGTGACAGAAGAATTGTAATGTGGACACAATCCTTTAGGGCAAGTCCAAGAACCTTTGGGAACTTCAGAGCCTGGCCAAAATAAAGTCACAGCCTTGCGACCTTGGTTTGCTGCGGTTACCCACAATGGCTCACCTAACCACCATTTCTGGTCTAGGCCTTTGTTGAACACTTCCCCGGTTATTGGATCGGTAAATTTGTTCATGATTATACCGTGGTAAGCCGGGTAGAGTCCGGTTGCGATAGAGTAGTGATTTGGGAATGTCATCGAGGGGAAAACCGGGATTAAACCGGATTTGGCTTCGGTTCCTCCGGAGATGAGAAGGTCGATGTTAGGTGTGTCGGTTTTAAATTGGTAACCGAACCGGAATCCGTCGCAAGAAATCATTAGAACCACCGGTTTGTTGAGCTTCTTGAAGGGCCGAGGACGCCCGGTTTTGGACGAAGGAGAATCCACACCCTTTGTAGCGGCGGCTGCGGCCAAGGTGGCGGCTACAATGAGAAGACTAAGAAAGGTGAGAGAGAGTTTGGGAGACAGAAGATGTTTGGTTTTTGCCATTGGAAAGAACGTTTGTGATGATGATGGTTCTCTTGCAATTCATGTTATTTATAGAACGAGCAAATGTTCTTTTCCGTTTATTTATTATTTTGCTTTTCTGTTGATAAAACAAATTAAAAGAAAATAATACTAAATACCGTTTGAAGCCTTGAAGTGTCTCCATATAATAATTTATATACTAGGTATATATATATATATATAAATATCATTACATCTATGTATATATGGTTTCAATTTCAGAATATGAAACAAAGATGCCTAGATTTATAGTTTAGCTAGTACATACAGAAATACAGTACGTTGAGGGTCGAGTTGTGGGATCTTAAAAGATAACTAAATCGTCACTAATACAATATTTATTTAAAACATGTCATAATTAATATAAATATCACATCCAGCAAAAAAATAAATCCATTGATATCATTAATGATGGAAATATCATTATTGATTCTATTCTTTTAGTTAAAAGAGTAGACTAAAATTCATATTTAATTGAACCGAACAATTTAACTAAAACGGACAAACATCTTTTTATTGAGTGACATTAAATAGTACCAGCAAATTTGGAGTTTTAAAGTATTTTCCAAAACTTGGAGGCAAGTTGTGAATATGGTTTTACAGTAAAATTACAACTGCCTTTAATAATTACATTTTTTTGTTTCTTTTGTTTTTGGAACTTGGTGCCTTGGTGGCAGTTACATTGTTACGACAAGAACACTACTGTATCTGCATGCATGGTCCAAATGCGGGATAACCATTGATATCTGATCTTACCGTCTAGATTTCACTCACGTTTTTATCACGAGAAAGTATCCTTTCGTGGTAGGCTCTACCTCTGCGGAATGATTGGTTGTGTTTGACATGGAGTCTAAATGTTGATAAGCCAGCACATGCGTTCGAGTTTTGTAATTTCGGGGGTACTATATCTTTAGATAAGGCAATAGTTACTATGATTCTTTTAACCTTCAGAAAATATATTCTCTCGGTCCTGACGGTATAGTATTTGATATGCCGTTTCAGTCTCTTCCATCTCCTTTTTTTTTTTTTTCTTTTTTCGACTACCCAAATATTACATTATTGTTGGCTGGGCCGAGAACAGTTTTAGGGGCCGTCCTCAACCGACTCGGTATGATCGATGTGGGTGAATATTTGTCCTCTTACTTAGGCTCCTTTTGCAAGACTGTCTGCTCGGACATTTTCACTTCTCGGGATATGGGAAATGACGAAATCTGAGAAGCTCTCACGAAGGATGCGTAAGTTTTCTAACTCGGACGAAAAAAACGGCCAATCAGATGGGGATTCGGTCATATTCACTAGATCGGAACAGTCGGTCAGAAAAAACACCGATGTTATGTGCCATTCACTCAAACTTGACTCGGCACAATTATACAACAAAAAATACAATTATACAAAAAAAAAAACACCGATGTTATGTGTCTCTTCCATCTCCTTCAATACAATTATACAACAAAAAAATTGACTCGGCACATCGTTACGCGGCCAATGTGGTGCAAGTCACGTAACTACATCTATAATAGATGATCTATACGGGAAAATAGTAAGAACTGGTAAGCATGGTAACTATATCAACAAATTTGAAAATTGGGAAGGGATGTGATATAACTCTGTCGTTAGTGACCAATTGAAATCGATAGAACGTATCAATTAACAAGAGCTTTTTTTCTATTAGAATGCAAAATTTTGACCAGATATAATAATTAGATAAGGAAATCAAGCGCATAATATATATATAAAAAAACTCAAAGAAGACTAAATGGATCCGTTAAAAGGTTGTACTAGTTAACCACCAAAATTCTCAGAACAAAAAAAAATACAGGTCATGACGAAACCTGAAGGAAAAGTGTTATGAATGTTGCAAGGCCTTAAAGGTGTTGAAACTAGCTACTGCCGTGGAAACAAAGAGAAGCTGACAAGCTGAAGAGGCAAATTTATGGCGTGTTATTTACTTCTTCTCTGGTCTTAGAACTAAACTCTGTTTTTCTCTTCCTCATCCTCACTAATGATAAAACAAAAACCCTGAAGATTTTTTGAAAATATGAAAGTATTATTGCGAAAATATTATAGATCAAAACAGAAAATATGAAGAGCTTTCGAAAATATGAAGGTATCAATCTTAGAACCCTCCTCCTCTTCCCAAGGTAACTTCCTATGGCATTTTCTTGGAAACCATATACTCTATCCAATGTTCATCCGTTTTTTTAAATTTAAATGTGGATCCTTGGTGATTTTGGATCCGTGAATGTTTTAATTTTGTTGCTTTGAAGAAGACATTTTTGATGAAAAGAAAGTAACTTTGTGTGATAAGTTGTTTCTTTATCTATGTCTAGGATCGAGTTCATGGAGAACCATTTGTTGCAAACCCATCGAAAGATGCTGAAATGGACAAGATCTTGAGATCTATGCAGGTGAAATATGATGACTTCAATCAATTGTTGTCCGACAGTTCTGGAACGCCAGTAGGCTTATTTGCTGCAAGCAAACAAAGAATCTTCTTTACCAGATCCTTTTCCGTAATCTTCATGTCTACCACATTAATAGCTAGACTTGAGTGTGTATTATTTAGTGCTAGTGTTTTGTCATATGTAGAGCAATAGCCTTCCACACAGTGTTTCCTTTTGCAATCAAATAACGAACACTGATTTTCATACTTGAAAAGAGGGAGATTTTCCTGAGTTTATTACCGATGGAATGATAGCAGCAGCATCGATAGCTTGATCTGAAATGATTGCAGCAGCATCGGTAGCTGGAATGATAGTAGCAGCAGCATCGGTAGCTTGATCTGGTATGATTGCAGCTTGCTATATTTAACCTCATCCTTTACAAAGAATACCTTGTGAGAGATGCATTCTATAGAATCATTGTCATATACATCTTGCAAATTAATTGGAAATCCCAAATCTCTCTGTCCTTAAGCCATCTGTTTGTGCATCTTTTGTGCAACTATGAGCCATAGTAAAATTGCTACATGCGTTTTCTACAGCAATCCCACCTAGAGCATTGCTGCTCTTGTACTGATGTAAAAACTATATGATAAGAGGATCATTAGATATTTGCCTTATCTCCTATATGAGTTTCAAATTCAGAATATTAAACCTATATTCAAAGTATATATAGCTAGTATATAGAGAAATACAGTACGTTGAGATGTGGAATCTTAGAAAGATAAGTCGTCACTAATACAATATTTATTTAAAATGTCATAATTAATATAGTACAACATCTAGCAAAAAAGTATACTAAATTATTACCCTTATTTAGTTGTACCGAACTTTATTTAACTAAAATGGACAAACTTACATCTTTTTATCGACTGACAAGAATAGTACCAGCAAATTTTGAGTTTTAAAGTATTTTCCAAAACATTGAGGGAAGTTCTGATTTGTGAATATGATTTACATTAAAAAAACAACTATACCTTTAATAATTCAGTACCATAGTCGGTGGCAGTTACATTTTTTGTTTTTCTATTTTTTTCTTGGAACGTGGTGGCAATTGCATTGTTACGACTAAGAACATTACTGCATCTGCATGGTCCAAATTCGGGAGAGCCATTGATATCTGATCTTACGGTGTAGATTTAATCCACGTTTTATCACGAGACACTATCCTTTCGTGGTGGGCTCTTCCTATGCGAGATGATTGGCTGTGTTTGATATGGGATCTGAATGTGGATAAAGCCAGCACACGCTTTCGAGTTTTGTAAGTTTTGGGGAACTATGTTTGGAGATAAATTAACAATACAGTTACTATATTTCTTTTATACTCAGAAAAGATATTTAATAATTAAAACCATAGAGTTGGGTATATATAGTTGAATGGGCAAGTAACAACAACAGTTAAGTCTCTCGGTCCTGACGGTAAAGTACTTGATATGCCTTTTCAGTCTCTTCTCCTTCAATACAACAAAGATTGACTGGGCACATCGTTAAGCCGCTAACGTTCTAAGTATATATGACTCATCGACCAAAATCAATTTTTTTGTTGCTAGGATTGATAGTATGAGAAGATATTTCACGAGAAACTTCTAGGATAGTTAGCCACACGCTTTCAACTTAATCAGTGGCTAGATTAACCAACAACTTCTTTCCGAACGTATTTGTGTTAAACCTATGCCTTACGATCCCAACTCCTATACTTAGCCATTTAGAATAACCTTATATTAAAAGGAAAAACATTTATACATTACAATCAGTAACACTAAAATTTTATCATTTATTTTATAATCAGATTTTACATTTGGTATAGAAATCTTTGCAAAATGTATGATTGTATATATACACAAATCCCTCAATATTGTGTAGTTAGAATGTTAGAAACCGGATTGTCCAAACAAATCGGTTAATCATACTTTCATAAATTTATAAATTTATTCCAAAATCTAGTTATAAATCAATGAAAGAACAAGAGAGGACGTAGAACATTAAAAAACTTCAAAGAAGACTAAAATCCGTTAAAAGCTTGTACTAACCACCAAAATTCTCATTAAAAAAAAAATTACGGGTCATGACGAAACCTGAAGGAAGAGTGTTATGAATGTTGCAAGGCCTTAAAGATGTTGAAAGTAGCAACTGCCGTGGAAACAAAGAGAAGCTGATAAGCTGAAGAGGCAAATTTATGGCGTGTTGTTTATTACTTCTTCTCTAGTCTGAGAAGAGAACTAAACTATGTTTTTTCTCTTCCTCATCCTTCACTAATGATAAAACAAAAATCCTGAAGAGTTTTTGAAAATATGAAGGTATAATTCCGAAAATACTATAGATCAAAACAGAAAGCGGGAAAATCGGATGGAGAGCTTTTGAAAATATGAAGGTATCAATCTTAGATCACGGATTGAGAATGATCCATCATCACTCCCTGAAGCCAACATGCAACTAGCAAAGCCTATTTGACAAAGCGAAAAATAAAAACCGAAATCGATCGAAGACAATCATCGGTTAAAATAAGTGTTCTTTTTTTTTATACTGAGAAATTATCAGAATGTATATTATGTGCTTTGAAATATACCTAGTACTTGGCATCTACGGTATCAATGATGATCTCATCATCTCACGTGCTTATATAACATAAAATAGAAAAGACGTTCATAGTCGGGTTCCCTGATAATATATGAGATTGAAAATAATTCTTCTTTCTAGCTTGTTATTCATGTTTGGTTTTTTTTTAAAGGTTCTTTATGTTTCTCATTATATCTCTCAAAATTATGTTTGTAACTGAGAACATCCTAAACCAAAACCTAGAGTAACCCCCGAGATTTATAGGAATCCGAATTTTCTTTCCATATATTCATACATAGTAGGATACGAACTCAGATTACTAGTGTTCTTTTGCTAGAGGTTAAGGGAGTTTATGCGCTTTGATTTCCTGTTTTGGAGGAAACCAGCAAGAAAATAGGATATGAACAAGGATTTCCGTCAACAACCACACAAAAAAAAATTCTGGAAATAATGATTTTTTTCCTTTTATTTTATCTAATTTCTTAGACTTTCTGGGAAAAGTTCCGATTGTTATTGAGGACTCTCCGAGCCTTATGAAACCAACGGGCTCAAAAATGTAGCCCAAACGAAATGCTGAAGAAACATTTTATTTTTCTCCAAAATTTTGGAAAAAATGATGGTACATATAAAATTTCATTATTTGACTTAATGTTGGTAAATGATTTTAACTTTGCAGTTTTTATTTTTATAAATAAGTCATGATCGACAAGGATTTGTAGTCTGGTTTATGTTAGTGACGTGTTGTCACAATTTGAGTGTAAATCTGCATAAAATCTGCATAGTGATGTTGATAAAAAAAAAAACAAAAGTCAAGATCAGATGTCATAGCTATATATGATATTGACAAAGAAATTGATTAAAGTAAGATAATTGTTATTTATTGGTAAATGATAGTGATTCTTTATGCTACAATTAATAGCTTAACCAATAGATTTACTTGTAACAATCATTAATCGTAGGATAAACTGGATATGGTGTCCATCTCATGATTACGACCATAAATCTATCGGATAGAGATTAAAGTTTAAGGTTACAGGTAGACCGGTTAGGTTGGACGAGTTTCAGATAGCTAAATCATGCTTCAATTTTCGAAGTACACAAATTTCCTTACTTTTTTTTTTTAATTATCTGGAGAAAAAAGAAAAAAAACAAAAGAATGATAATTTAGAAGGATTTTTGAGTTTTTTACTTCTTTTTTTACCCTAATATTATTGAAACTCGTGGAATAAAATATTTCTTTGAATTCGATCATTAATTTGTGAAATGATAGTATTGCTGAGTGTAAATCGCATAAAAATCTTATAGATACGCAGAGTTGTTTGGAATCCACATTTTTTAGCCAAAAATATCTTTTAGTCTTATAAACTACTACACTACTATGAATTTTCTAATTGAGTCTCGAATGTTTAAATGAGTGCCTTCAGTTGTTCTAGAATCGTGATCAACAAAACGAAACAATTGAGACTTGGCTAATGATTGAATCTTTTATGTAAAGCTATCTTGGGGGAGTACAAATAACTAATGTACCATGATTCACGAGGTCATTGGCTTTAATGATTTCATGAATTTGATGATTGTATGAATCATATTTTGCCATATGGCACTTAACCATGGAAAAAAGTGGACATTTGATTTACACTATTCTTTCAGAAGAATATATGTATATATATATATATATATATATATATATATATACAAATGGTGTTTTTTGTAGTGATACTTTTTCTCTTCTTCTTTTTTTCCACGTTGTAGTGATGTTTAACGAAACATCTATAAAGATGCATAGATAACAAATACAAATAAAACACCATGATTAAAATCTATGTGCATCGTTGGTCATGAGAGTATTGTTATGTACATTCCCAACTAACTATTTCTTTTTCGGTATAGCCAATCAGATTCATAACAAAACATTTGCTTTATCTTGTTTTCTTTGGATTACCATGGGACGAAAATGAAAAGGGACCATGAAACCAAAATTGGAAAATGACAGATCCAAGAAAGATATTAATTCGTATCAACCTTTTGAATTTTAGTGAAGGGACAGACGGATGCAAAGAAGCCCTGTAAGCCATCACATTTGGCCGTTGATGCATTTCAAAACATATTGGACACTGTTTTAGTCATCAGTTTGGTTCACTTTGAGCAAAATTTTTTTAAAAAAAAGTTTACAAAACTAAACGACCAAAGACCTATATATTGCTAGCTAGATCCCTAGATTCCTTCTTGGCACATTTTATTTTCTTTACTTTTCTTTTGTCAATTTTTTTTCTTGAACATCTTGGGTATGTTTTTAAAGAGATATATGTGTGTGTGTTCATTTAAAAAAGGTCCACTTTGTAGAACATAATAATAACCAAAACTTTATAAAGGAAAAACAACCAAAAGAATTTTGGATACCAATGAGATAATTTACTTAATTCACATATATTATCCCCAAGTTCATCATCATAGCCAATCAAAAATATATCAAAACCCCAAAACTTTAAAAAAAAAATAATATATTGATCATGCTAAGGATGATGGGAAAAAAGAATAAATTGTAAGCATTCTTTCGACCTCTTTTCTTGTAATAATAACTTTTGTTGTTTACTTAAGCCTTCATCTTGTGGTTGAATTGGTAAAATATGATATAATATATATATATATATAT